ACATTGATCTCAATAACTTTTGGATTGCAGATGTCATATTCTGCTAATTGCAGATCTCACTACTACTAAGTGAGAGATGCTTGTGAGCTGTTCAAGTGTAAAAAGTAGATATGCACTCTTTCAATTTTAAACTTTATTGTTGCTACGTCATATACATTTGTAGATTGTCAATACGTTGAACGATATTCTCGCTATATATACATTTACGCGTGCATGTATGAACATACTACGCATAAATCAATATGCGAGAGCGCATAATTATTATGTGCCAACTTAAGGGTGTAATTTCAATTGCCAAACTTGAAACCATTGGTTCTACATCAGCAAGGGAAGATTTTGTACTCGTCTATTTAAAAGTGAAGAAATATGAATGATTCAATTAAATCCTGCATCTTGTTGGTAAGTAAAATCGAGGCGGTTTATGCTTTGAATTTTATTAAAATCATGTACATAATAAACTTATAAAATCCATACCAAACGCGCCTATTCGTAGGAATCTAACAAATCGGATACGTTGTTATGAAACAGCGACCAATCCTGTGATGGGTATCTGAGCACAGTGCTGTCGCCTACCTTCCGTAGGGTCAAACTGCGTTCCTGTAAAAACATTAGCCGAATATCACTTAACATCGTCAGACGGAACAGCTTGTGCATCAACCGATCTTGTCCTAAAACAGCTAAGATTAGGTATGTTTACCAATTTTTCAAACTTAGATATACATGAAATATGTTGATTTCAATGTTCGATAACATTCGTAACAGATAATTCTATTTTTTTTAACGAAAAGTCGGATGGATTTCATGATCTACGAAATTCGTACGCACATCGTTGTTACAAGCACACCATCCACCATTTTGTTTATTATGTCCACTTTTGGAGGGAAACTAAAACTTATTTTATGTCAACCACAGTGACGTATGAATTTATTGATTCGTTTCACGTCCAAGTCTGAATATAATGCATTGAAAAATTGTATGTCTTTTAACTTTTGCGTCTCCACTACAATTATTTACTTTTCTCTGCAATTTAGTCATTTGAAAATTTAGATAATTAAAATGTTAATTTAATCCTTCGATTAACACTTGCAATAAAAAATTAATCTTAATCCGATTATTGAAATTAATCACTACTTACTAATTAGGAATATTAAAAAAAAGGCTAACGTAATCAAAGTAAAATGATTAATGAATTTTTCTAGACATGGCACGTACCAAGCAAACTGCTCGTAAATCAACGGGAGGTAAAGCTCCCAGAAAGCAGCTCGCGACCAAAGCTGCACGTAAAAGTGCACCTTCCACCGGTGGTGTGAAGAAGCCTCATCGTTACAGGTAAAAATGTTTTTCATAATCGAGCGAATGCTATTGCGACAAAGTAGTAATACAAATTTGATCACGTTATTTATATTTTAGGCCTGGAACTGTAGCGCTGAGAGAAATTCGAAGATACCAGAAATCGACAGAATTGCTGATCAGAAAGTTACCATTCCAACGTTTGGTTCGTGAAATCGCGCAAGATTTCAAAACAGACTTGCGTTTCCAGAGTGCAGCTATTGGAGCCTTGCAAGAAGCTTCAGAAGCTTACTTGGTTGGGCTGTTCGAAGACACAAACTTGTGCGCGATTCACGCAAAACGTGTCACGATTATGCCAAAAGATATTCAGCTGGCGAGACGAATTCGCGGTGAACGTGCATAAGCATTTCATTGTTCAAAACATTTAACTGTTCTCTCAATCAAGTTCATTTTTGTTATCACATTTTCTAAAGTTTTCACATACTATCAAATTCATTACAGTTGTGTTGTTTTCATGAATCATTACTGTAATTGACACTGCCAAGACCTTGAAAGATAAGATACAGGAGATAAAGTATATCAATAAATATTATATATTGTAGAATAGTCAAATACGTTTATGATTTAATAGTAGAAGAATAGGAAAGAGGCACAGAGATAAGAGTATGTAGTTCGTAACACATAGTAATACACTTTGCATAATTGATATGTTATAACTAGTAAAATAGGTGACACGAAATCAATTAAACCTGCAGAGAACTCGTATTTCCCAAGGAATCTAGCTGCTTTCGTTATATGTTTCTTCTATGTTTAGTACTACTTCCGGTTACCGAACAAACTTACTTTGCAATCGATTTGTGAAAGAATTTGCAGTGTATTGTAAAATATTTCTTCTGTGCAAGCAGAGAAAAGTAACACTGTAACACTTCGTAATATAAGCTGTAGAAAATTAAAATGGTGTAGAATTATGTACCGAGCGTGCCCGTAGGCTTATGTTACTAGCTGTATTTGCATTATCAAAGTATCAGAATATTTTGCATTTATATTTCACGTCACATTTTATTTTTAAGAAATTGTGACCCTGAGATGGTATGACAGCCTTGTTTAATATGTTATTATTTTATTAGGTACAATATTATGTATGATAAGTACTAGTAATAATTTACATTTTCAAATTTATGTATAGAAATTTTTAATAAATTTTAATCGAACTATCTTCGTATCTTGTAAATGGTTTCTCGAAAATGCTGTTTTTGGAATCCCTATGACTAATGAACAATGTGAATGAATCATGCTTATTTCATAACTAATTATATCAATTACATGTTCCACACACAAACTTGTAAATTTACTCTGCCGTACGTCATAAGTAAAATGTACCCTTACACGCATTATTATCAGTATAATGTGCATACGATCGAAGAGTCCTATTAATACATATAAATTACTACTCTTAAGTGCGCACATATACATACATATGTGAATATAAACATGTATGCATGTGTTCACCTGCTATAATTGCATACATTCGGTTACATAGAACCTACTTTTAATCATAATCTAATTTAAATCAGTAAATTGTTATGATTAAAAAATTAGTTGTTCATCCAATCGACACTGACATCATGTCATTTGTGTTGTCAAAATTGAATGTAAACCTGGACGCTATAATGTTTACGTTGGGTATGCAATGGCGTCTACTATTTCCGAGCAGAAACGCGAGAGAATACTTGATCGTGAAAGCAGTAGTTCATCGTCAACTTGAACCACATATTTGAGAAAGAACAGCATGCAATGCGTGTGAAATTTTGATAGTAACAAAAACAACCAACATCTAAGAGTTCTTTGTTGCATTTTATGACGATATATATTTTCTAGAACTTTCCACGATGCAGCCAATTTCATTGTCAATAGAATTGCACGAACAAAGTCGTGATATCCCTGTGTACAAAAGCATCCCAAAGAGATAGAAATTCGAGCAATGATAGTTGGATAAATTTTAATCGATTGATTCGATTATCGTTTGAAATATTTGCCGATTTACTCAGATATCGATTGTGTCGTTTTCGATAACGATGAAAAGGCAATTATTGCAAGTAAAACGAGGTTGCTCTCGAGAGCCAGTATCATGTGTATATTACAATTGACAGTGTTCTTCTCGGTTCGACTTCTAGGCGTAGGAAGCTGAGCCAATCGCAGGTCCTACACTATGAGGCAGAACTGCTATCCGACATCCGATTGGATGTACCGCACCGCGGGCTTACGTGCCTCTCGCAATTTAATTTCTAGGGGGTAGGGACAAGGGAGTCGTGACTCGGGAGAGCGTCCACTGCCATCGGAGTACAAGGAAACAGATAGTGTTAGCTCTCGCTTCTCGTAAAATTTTTCCTTCAAGTGGTACGTAAACTCGTTGAAATTCTATATCACAATTGGTCACGTGTAAGTACCAATGCCAGCGAGCACGCGGCGAGTGTAGTGTTGCATCGAGACAAATAAAAAGTGTTAGGAAATTGAAGTTTTCACATCGGAACGCGACGTACTGTCGTGTTGCCTCCATTTTGGAATTAACGTTCGTGGAGGGAATCGTTTACGAGTCTCTCTCTCACGGCCGATGCTCGCCGCTTGCTTCGCCGTCAGTGTCATTGGTTCAGTTCTGTTTACCAGTCGTTTGTTTTCCTCAATGAAACAGTAATCAACAGATACGAGAACTCCGCGAATTCGAATCATACATTTTTCATGTTAGCATGGCTTTTTTTTCGCGTCGATGCAGAAGGAACGAAAGTTTGTACATTGCGCAATGCGCAGCGTTCCTCGGTGCGCGGTTCCTCCGTACGAATAGCAACGGATCGTACCCCCACTACTATTCCCCCACCACCAGACTACCCTTTCCCCCATTCGGAAACTTGTTTTACACTCCACTCCACAACTCCATTTCGAACTCCGAAATGCGATCTTCGAAATAGTTTTCCCGCGTCGTCCGACCCGTGTTGTTATGTTTCTGCCGCTTCGTTTGAATGGTAATACGGGTTTTCCCGATGTACGTATATAGTGTGGTAATTATTTACCTTAGGGGCCTCAACTCCGATATTGATGATTTTGAAATATTCCGAGGTATTTGCAAATACGTCCGTATCAACGTTCACGTGAGCGTTGCTTTGGGTTAGTTTGACGTAACCTTGACATAGCCTAATGAGAAAGAAAAGTTTTAAATAACCCTCGTCTTTCGTTTATAGTACAGCAGGTAAGCGGCGAACCAACGTTGATTCACATGTTGCTACGGACGCGTACGTATAGGTAGAATTCAATGTAGTAGCACGGAAGGAATTTTTCAAATATCTCGGAAGCTAAGCGACGGTTGTACGTATAGGAAAAAGTTGTTCAGGATCTTGTCTTCTATAACATATTTCAGAATCAACGAAATCAGAGTTAAGGCCCCTAAAGTAAACAATTATCTATAGTATCAGTATTTACACGCGAACAGGGATAATTGTTTGAGAATGAATTAGTTGTATGTAATCGGGTATTACTTACATTTTAGAAAGACATTTTCGTGTATAATATTTCGTTTCCAAAAAAATTAAGTTCGTAAAGTTCCGAAGCACACGTGCAATTAAATAGGTATATTCTGAAATTGCTGTTTCTACTTTAAACGGGATTTTCTCGAAAATAAAACTATGATTAAATAAATGTCTGATAAATAATTTTTTTTTCTATATTTGAAATAATTTGTAAACCACTTTTAACGTTGTTACAGTTTAAAAAATGGCACGTACTAAGCAGACAGCTCGTAAATCAACTGGAGGTAAAGCACCTCGTAAGCAGTTAGCGACAAAAGCAGCTCGTAAAAGTGCTCCTTCTACTGGTGGTGTAAAGAAACCTCATCGATATAGGTAAGTCAGATATTCAATGTAAATTATATAATATATTGACAGTAATCATTGCATTAATGTAAAAAGAAATGTTTAAAATACTAAAAATTCAATGTAATTTTTAGACCTGGTACTGTGGCTCTTCGAGAAATCAGAAGATACCAGAAATCTACCGAGTTGCTGATCAGAAAGTTACCTTTCCAGCGATTGGTTCGTGAAATTGCACAAGATTTCAAGACCGATTTGCGTTTCCAGAGTGCTGCGATTGGAGCTTTACAGGAAGCATCAGAAGCGTACTTGGTGGGTCTGTTTGAAGACACCAATTTGTGCGCTATCCATGCTAAGCGTGTAACAATCATGCCCAAGGATATTCAGCTCGCTCGACGAATCCGTGGCGAGCGTGCTTAAATAATATGTAACTCCCATACATACCATATACTGCTACTATTACTACAATTATTATTATTAATTATTATCATTCATAACGATCCTGGATGGAGCATTTTCATTCCAGACTATGTATTATGTTGTACTCCACAAAAAGTGTACAAGTTCATCCCTATGATAGGTGCATAGATTTTGGAGCTCTTTTAAATCAATGCAAAATGTTATCACCTGTTTTCGATATATTGGTAGTCTTTGTTTTTGGTCCATAGTTTCTGATAAACACAAAGACTGCATTAGTTTACGAAAATAATCATTCACGAATAATTATTTTCTTTGTCTTTCAATTTATTGCTACTTTTTTATTATCTTATTTTTTATTCATAAAGTCAAGGCATAAATATAAATATATATTATATAAATTGAAAGGAAACCGATCACAAAACAATAATCTTAATAAAAGACAAAAATCTTCTATAAGTACTAGTAAGAATAAAAAAAGAGCTTTAGTTTCTCATTATG